ACCGCACCTCCAGACCCCAGAACTGTGCACCCAATCCCATTCCCATCCTCCACTCGCAGTGCTTTGTCCCCCTATTCTCAAGATGGACACAGATCCCACAGAGCTGTTCCTGCAGCTCCGTTGCCGCAGTCGCTGTCACAGCACTGTCACCACTGAAGGCCACGTGCACCCCCAATAGCAGCACCATCCTTTGCTGTCCCCCCTTTGCTCCGTGCGCACTCGGCCCCCTGACATCAGCAGGAGCAGGGGGACAGAGCAGCCAGCCTCCTGGAGGGGTGGCATCAGCGGGTCAGTGCAGTGGGGACACTTCCTTGGTGTTGGAAATGAGGCACTTGGAGTGCACATGGGACAGGGAAATCTCAGGATCTCTGAGTTCACAACTCCAACATGGGCTCATGGGGTTGTAGATGGGATGGGGAGATCCCGGACACCCCTGTTATGGGAACCGAGGACTAGAAATACGATGGGGAGATCCCAGACTGCTGGTTCCACCCCTGAGCTATGGGGACCGGGGGTGGAAATGGGATGGGATGATCCCAGACTCCTGGTCTACCACTGAGTTGGAGTTCTCGAATTTGGGAGGCCCCACACCCTGGGTCCCCTGGAATACCCCGCTCCACTCACACACCTCAGTGCCCAGCTCCTTCCCCTTGCCATTTCCTCCTCTCCACAGACCAGAGCGACTTCATAGCCACTGCCCTGGAGCACAGGGTAACCAAAGGACACAGCTGGTCCTGTGCCGTATCAGCCACTCAGTGTGACATTGAGGAAGGACTCCTGGGTACCATAGGTGCTCACCAGTGTTTAGTTGCATGGTCGTGCCAGCGTGTGCCCTTCCCATCAAACGCTCAGTGATGCCAGTGCCCCAGGACATGGCAGATGAGCAGGAGGTGGTAGGCACACATCACAGTGAGTGGATGGTATTCGCAAAGTGGCCTCAGCAGGGCAGAGCAGAGAGGGAGGATCCCCTCCGTCACCCTGCTAAGTCTGTCTGAGAGGTGGCTGTTATGCAGGGGGACTTATTTTTGTCTTCAGCTTTCTAAGTTTTTAGATAGTCTTCGCCATTGTAAGTCATCACGAGAATAAGAAAAACCACTCAGCGTGTTAGACACTTTTTATTGTCTTGGCCAGTATAGTAAAGGCTGGAGTTAAAAGAAATACCAAATCTCAAGGAGGAAGGATCTTGCACTTGCTTACTTCTTGGCTCTCCGACTCAGTGATCTTTGCCTTCCTCTGCTATGCTGGAGAAAGGTGAGATCTAAGCAGCAGCAGACGTTACGATACAAGGTGCACTCAGAATGGGACTGTTGTACGGCCGGGCTTCTGGCCATTCTTACCTCCTGCTGTTTTCCTGTGATGTTGGGCTACGTGCAGGTCTAAGATCCCAGCGTTTTCTAGTTCCTGCAGCATTCTAGAGATTTCCTCTTGCCCCCTGGGAGTCTATCCTGTATGTTTAGTATTAGTAATGTGGCACAGATTTGGCAAGGAATAGGCTCCAGTTTTGCATGGCCTCTTAATATCACCTGTGCCACCCAGTACTAATACATCTTCCTCTCAGTCTGAACTCTCCTACGGTCATCGGGAGGGTCAGACCCAAACTATGCCCCGTATGCACTCTGGGACTGAACAGCAGACACCTTATTATACTGCCAGGGAGGGAGATGCCCAGCCCCCAACTTCAACCATGTCTGGGTTACAGGGACAGTCTTTCCCCAACCCCACCAACCGTCATTCTGTCTCCTTGGAATTTGGTTGGATCACCATAAGCAATTGATGTTTCTGCACCCACAGGTTGGTTTTCCCCTCTCCTGGCAGGTTAAGACACACTGCAACCTTTTGCAGATCATACTTTTATCTTTCCGACCCTCAGTCAAACCTCCAGCATCAGTTAAAGCTCTCCTCCCTCTGCCCACTTACACCAGTTATCACAAACCAAATCCTCAGGGAATGTAGGCTTTGGGTGGATCTCACATCTTGGTAATGGTGTGGTGGCTCTCTTTGTCATCCTGCTGACTCCACCAATTTGGCATCACAGGAAATGACAACTGCATTTCACTTGGTTCTACTGAGAAGCCACGCAAGAGTTACTGATAATTTAATGATACTGATAATTCTTAGCTCACTCTAACATTATAACAGCACTTAATCATTAAACAGTGAGGAGTTCAGTCATGTGATTTAATGAAATACACGATAATTAAACAGAGGCCTGAGTACAGATTCAGAGATGGCGAGATCCAACTCACTAACAGGATACCCTACGTCTATGTACAGATACGGACAGAAAAGGACAGACAGAAATACATGCATCAAGTAAAGTAACAGAAACCCTTGTGCAACAAATGCGTATAATTACAGGGCATAAACAAGTAGGGAAGTGAATGTAAGAAGAGTGAGCTGGCCTCTGCTCACGGTTTCCCTCACCTTGAATGTAGAGCAGACGTTCACCATGCACTGGCCTTCCTCAGCAGATGATGACTGTGGCTGACTCGAGTGGCAGCACTTTGCCCCGGCTTCCACTGATCGACAGCCCCGAGGATTCAGTCGTCCCTGAGAGGCGTCCCGACCCAGGTTGGGCCAGGTGCTTGTACAGAGCAGCTCCATGGATGGTGCCACCTTCTGCTCCTTAGCGCCAGCGGCACAAGCGCCAGCACTTGCTGGCCTCACCAATTCCGTGCTGCCCCCTTGGCCAGTATCCAGTGCAGATGCACTGGGCTGTCAGGAGCTGAGTGACTCCTCCGCTGTTCTTGGGCAATGGGATGAGCAGCAGGAGTCAGATGCAACAAGGGATTGCCCTAACGCTGCAAGCCGCTGCCCCTTGCTGCCCACGGGCAAGCAGGGTGTAGGCAAGGAAAGGGGTGTGCTGGTTGTACTGGGTGTGCAGCTTTTGTTCAAGGAGAAGAACCGCACCATGCAGCGTGAGACCTGAGGGAAGGGGGAGAAAGTGGGAGGTGAGGGTGGCAGCGCTGCAGTTGACACAAAAGCAGTGTTGAAGGAAGCAGAACCCCAGAGCTTCCACTTGAAGCCAATGCAGAGTTTTGCTAAGGGGGGAGGAAGGAAGAGGTTTCAGGTTTGGCCTTGCGGATGGACGTCTTTCTGTGCCCACACCAGTGCTTTGTGCTCTTGATGCTGAAGGCAGCTGCCCAGGGCTGGGGAGTGGGTGCACGTCCCCTGAACTGTGAGCAGCAAGGAAATCAGGAGAACAGAATGCAGGCACTGCTGATTTTGACCAGTTTGACTCTGCTTTAAGACTCATTGCACAGATTGAGAAAGAGCGTCCCCTCAGAAAAAGAAAGACAAGGAACAGGGTTGAAAAGGAATAGGATTGGTTTTAATTGATGGTTGTTGTTGTTGTTGTAAAATATACAATCAGACTATGATGTTGTGATGTCGTTGGTTTCAGAGCTCCATTAGGAGCTCATCTATATCCATAGAGTCATCATCAATTTCTGCGTCGTCCAGTTCTTCGTCAGTGAAATCCATCAGTAACTTCTCGAGGTCCTCATCCTCAGAGAAGTGTTCTTTCCCCACCTCTGTGCAGCTCAGCTGCTGCGCCTGGTCAGCTTCTTGTGTGGCACGGGATGTTGAGTGTGGGATCTCTGGTGGTGCCACAGAGTCTGCCTGGCTTCCTGGAAGCAGTTCCAGACTGGGGAGAACAAGGAAGAGAACAATCAGCACCTGACAGGCCAGGTTTTGTAGCAGAAGCACACTGCCAGCCTCATTGTTTGACTGTAAATGCATGAAGAAGTCATCCTCTGTTACGTCCACCTGTTAGAGACTGAGTTCCTGCTGCCCGTGACATACTCAGCAGAGACTTTGAGTGAGCAATTGAAATTAGTGCAGATGACTTCTTCCTTTGTTGGGTTATGCCATGGCACATCTCAGACACTCCATGTGTCCCCTGATGTGAAAGAACTTATGTGCAATGGAAGAAGGGCACTGGTGAAGAACAAGTAGCGGTCATCACCTGCTTGGAAGCTTCAGGACTTCAACGCTGACCAGGGTGTACTCGGGCGGGACTGAAGCAAGGATCGCCTAGGAAGAAACAAGACAGTGTGTGTGAAGCAGGGCTCAAAGCTTTTCTAAGTGGCTCTTCTTCTCGGAGAAGCTGTGGATGCCCCATTGCCAGAGGCATTCTGGGCCTGGCTGGATGGGTTTCTAGGCATTAGAATCATGTGGCTGGCATCCCTGGCCACAGTAGGACAGGAGGAACACCGGATGATCTTTGAGGACTGCTCCTCCCTTCCCTGGGCGCTGCTGAGCCTTATCCCAGATACAGAAGCGCCTTGCTCCTGAAGAAAGCGTTCCCTTGAAGGTTACAAGTGACCTTGGGAGTTTTTAGCAGCGCAGCGTTCATGGACAAAATCTGTGTACATCTAATTGCAACAGAGAATTTCCACAAGTGCCCTGGGAGACACCTGCTGCCTTCCGAGGAAACAGAAGACCTGTGGAACATTTGAAACTTGTACCATTACTACGAGAGCAGTGTAAACCTCCCATACGCACTACTGCAGCTCTTACCATAGGCAGTTTTCTGGCTGGGGGCTCGTCGGCGTCCTCAGCAGCAGATGGTTGCATCTCCGCTGCTTTGCGCTTCAGTCTCCGCATTGTGGGGAAGGTGGTCTTCCAGTCAATAGGCCTCCCGCGCACCTTGCGTCCAGCTGAAGGAAAAGGAAGAGGTTGCTGATAAGGTGCCAAGAGCTGCACTCAGCAATAGTCCAGGGCAAGGAAAACTCTGACACAGAACAACGCTGAGTGGCCGCATGACTGTGCTGAGGCACTGCAACAAGCTCCTGGTGCTCACCCTTGACTCTCTTCTTGCGCGGCAGTTCCTCTGCTTTGTCGTCCTCCTCCTCATCACATTGCTTGCGCTTTTGCGCAGCGGGGCCATGGGAGGAAGATGGGATGTCACCTGCAGAGAACAGTCCAGGAGAGAACAATCAGAACATGGGAGTCGAAAGGCAGCGCCTCAAACCCTGATGCCTGTTCAGTATCTGTACCTCCTTCTGCTGCCTCCTCAACCTCTGTCTGGTTCTCCAGACTTTCTGCAGGGCTGCTGTTCAGTGGAAGGCTTGTGTCAGCTTCTGGCCGAAAGGAGACAAGAAATAATTGAAGAGCATCTCTTTGGAGGAAGGTTTCAGCACACCAAGCCACAAGCTTCCAGTACTCAAGCATAGTTTCTTGCGTTTGCCTTTTGCTGATAAGATGTTGTGCCATTTCTGCAGTCAGCATTTACCTCTCTCCAGAAAACACCCACCCCTATTCTGACAGCCCAAACACAAACCAATATTTCACTGATCACCACTCTTCCCTGCGCTCCCCAATGAATGGTTACCTGACATCCTGCACCCGCTCAGAACTAACATTCATCATTAAGTCTGTCATGCTTCATGCCATCAGGAACTCACCGTCACTTGGTGGTACGGTCGGTCCGTTCCCACCGCGTTCCTTCAAATGAAGAAAACGGCAGTGGGCTTTCTGACAGCCTCCCGGCTGATTCTCCCAGTAGCAGGGAACCGCACTGCGCTTCTTCTGAAGAGAGAAAGCAAGGAAGGGTCATGGAAACAGGCAGAGGAGGTTTGCAGAGAGATGCAGCGCTGCAGGTGGTGCCTGAGGGAGGTGGAGAGCTCATCTTCAGGCAAACACTCACTTCAATTTTCATGTGTCTGAACTTGCAGTCGTTGCGGAAACAGCAGCCCTGTATCCACAGTCGGCAGACTCGTTCGCTGCCCAGAGCCGCCTCACAGTGGCGGAAGGGACATCTGTCTCCCTGTGAGCAAAAGGAGAGCACACAGGAGAATAAGAGCACAGCCTGAAAGACGTCCGTGCTGTCGGCCCAGGTTGGTAGCAGGGAGCGCACAATGCCTCTGCTGAGGAAGGCAACGCGTCGCCAGCAGGTCTCCCCCTGCTCCAGCCCTTCCTCTTCAAAGCGAGGAAAGGAAGGAAATCCAGGCAAAAGACTCCCAAGCGTACCTTAAGACAGACGGAGTTGAAATAGTAGTAGCAGTCGTCTCCTTGCAGAGCCATGGGGAACTTCTTGGAGAAAGGATGGGCTGTCTCCAAAGGAATTCCCTGCTCTATGAAGGAGCCGGCTGCAGTCCGCACCTGCTGGGATCCACAAAATGTCCTCTCGGACAGGAACCCTAGAGGAGGCGTCAACAAGGGAAGAATCATGAGGAAGAAGCATTTTGCAGCTTTCTTCTTTCATGCCGCATGGACTCTGGAGGAGGGCAGTGTCTGGGAAGCAGCAGGTTGCAAGAACTGTGCCAAGTCTAGATCCAACTTGTGTCTAACTGCCACCACTTCTCCCAGCAAGCACTGTCCTCCATCTCACCACCAGTTCTACCCCTAGCAGCACGCATTTTGCGTTCCTGACATGAAAATGACCCCCTTCATCTTCTCCTCTTGCTGCAGCTGCAATGGATGCACTGGTACGACTCCCACGTTTGACGAACCTACAGTTCTGGCTTACCAGGCACAGCTGCAGTCCCTCTCCCTTCCAGCTCACACTCCAGCCCAATGGCTGAGCAGCACCGTCAGCGACAGCGGGCAGCACCCGTCAGCCACCACCACTCTCACTGCCAGCCGGGACGAGAGCTGACGCAGCGTGTCCACACTGCTGCGCAGCGCTCACGGCTGTGGCACTCACTGGTGGCAGCCACGGCCCCAGCACAGTGCTTGTGATGTCACCGTGCCTGTGATGTCACCGGACAGTGCATGTCCCCAGCTGAGCACCCGGCTCTCCACCGGGACTTCAGTGGGGTTTTGTTAAAAATGGGCTGGATACGGCACAGCCAGCGCTCCGTGGGTCATTAAAGCACAAGTTGCACTGCATCAAGTCTGTGCCCTTCTTCCTTTGTGCTGTCTGAGGTGAAGGCTGGGGCCCAGCAGCAGTTTTGCAGGGCTGTAGTGGCAATGGTCAGTCACAGCTTGAGGCAGTGATTGAGCACCTGGTGGGAAGGCAGGGCAGCTCAGGTGCACACAAACTCTTCCCAGACATCACTGAAGGGTTGGCAGTGGAGGCAAGGGTGTCTGAGTGGAGATCCCTGCTACCTGGGGCCTTCCAAGGCTCAGCAGCTTTTTTCCTTTCTTTCTGTGTCCCCAACTGCTGCACTTGGGCAAATCCTCCCTTGCTGCAGCCTCGAACTTTGCCACCCTGTTGTTACTGCTGCACTTTCCATTGCACTGCAGCGTTACACAGGGGAGTGACGACAATTCATCATCCTCACCCAAACTTGTGCCACAATCTCTCAGACAATTTCCCCTGGCAACAGCCATTGGGAAGGGCCTCGTTTGAGCTGGGAAGTCCTCCCCAGCCCAGCTTTTCTGCTGAGACTCCTTCCAGCCACCACGCAGCACCAAGCCCAGCTCACCTCTTGGTCCAGGTCAGTCCAGGCTGTGCCCAGGTCACACACACGCCGCAGCGGTGCTTCTGACGGGCTCTCAAGGATGATCCTTGCCACAAAACGCTCAGAGCTCAGTCTCTGTGTGCCACTCGCTCACTAGAGCACCAGCTCTGCTCACCACCCTGGGGCCAAGCCCTGCCACCCCAGCAACGACTGTGACCTCACCATGGTTCCGCATCACTCCTGCGGAACATTATAAACCAATGGAACAGTCACCTCCTAGATCCAAACTCTAAGAGACTGACACAGGGGTCACCCAGTGGGGTTATTGGAAGTAAGATTTTAAGAGAAATTAAGGTGACTGTTGTGCAGCCATCTCAGGTCATCCTCTCGCTCAGGCGCCGCACGATTGGACGCAGGAGATGTTACCTCCAGCTTGGAGGCTGGAAGGATTTGAGCTTCAGAATTTGATCTTCCAAACAATCAGCAAGCATTTGGATGAGCCAGCCCTCTGGTTTTACGGGGACAGACACGTCCTGCTTGGGAAGCCGGCCCGGCGAAGGCAGAATAGCTCTGGCCGTGGGCCGCAGCACTCCACTGCCAGGCGCCGCTCCAACTCCTGGGCTGCATTTCCTCCTGGGCTCCCGCGCACGCTCTGGCTCTCCTGCTGGTTTCTGCAGGTTTTGTGGCTTCCTGCTGGGGAGCTCCTCACGTTCTTCTGCAGCTGTGCCCCGACATCATTACTGCCACCTCTGGTACCGCACCAAGAGATGCCTCAGAGTGCATCAGCCTGGACTTCCTGCTCCCATCAGTAGCTGCTCCCATGCCGACCTTCATTCACAGTGCGATCCTGGCCGCTTGCAGCACGAGCTGCCCTGCAAGGCAGAGAAAGGAAACGTGGGATTAGCACAAACACGGAAGCCCAAGGCTGTGTCACCAACTCCTATTGCAGTCTTGGGGAGTCAGCTGCAACCCTCTAGCCTTTGTCTGAAATAAAACAGGCACCTTAAATTACGTGGGACCTCTGAACTGAATAATTGCCACAATCAGAAATAGGCACTGAAATTGCTTGCTGAACTGTAGGTGGTTACCTCGGAATTCTTTTCTTTTGGGAAAATATGGGCTTGGAGTTGAAGGATATTAGAAAAACAGAATCTGCTTCTCTGTAGGTGTAGGGATTGGAAGTCGGAGTCTGAGAAGAGAAGGTTTTCGACTCGTTGTAAGGCACAAAGCGATGGGATGATTTCTCATGCCTGCAGAAAGCCTGATGTGCTGTGCCACAGGCAGCTGAGTGAACCAAAAGCTGTGCTGCCCATTCAGACGCACGTGGGGCACATGCATGGAGCGGTTACACAGCGGCACGTGGGATGTGAACGTTCCTTGGGCACCTGTTCCCCAGCAGAAGGGAAATCCCTTTTCTGCCAGGCTGTATCCCTACCGTCCTCAAGGGCTGTGGGAAGGCTGCAGAGGCTGTGCAGAGGAGAGAGTAATTTCTCCTCGGTTGGTCTGGGATATGATGTGACCTCTGGGAGCAAAGCACCGTAACGAATGTTGCTGCGTCCCAGTGCATCAGCTGCCTGCCTTGAAATTATTTTTGCTACCTGATGAAAGTGATACAAACAGAGCCAGGCTGCAGGCAAAGCTCTACAGTGCAGAAAAAGGAACTCTAAAGCCTGTGACACTTTTGAGGTGGTGTCACGGAGTGACAAGGGCCAAGTGGGACCGTTCTCTCCAGCAGCGGTGTAGAGGATGTTCTTTATACCGTGTCCCATCTGTACTGGCCCTAGGGCCACGGCACGGGCTATCTCCTGTTTAATCTGTTCAAAAGCTGCTCAGGGGCTGCTGCTGCTCAGGGCCCCATGTAAACTCATTTCTCATTCATGTCACATAATAAAGGGGGCTTACAATGAGGCTGTAGTTTGGAACATGCATTCTCCAAAATCCCACTGCACCCAGAAAAGGTTGTGTCTCTTTTGCTAGTGGGTGGAGACATGGCAGTGATTTTGTCGATCACATTTTGTCAGGATGTGACGATGGCCGTCTTGCCACTTTATACCTAGGAACTGAATCTCCTGGGCAGGTCCTTTCCCTTTGCTTTGCTTAATAGCAAAACCAGTACTCCGAAGAATTTGAATTATTCGCTCTCCTTTTGTAAAGACTTCTTCTGCTATATGGCCCCACACAATGATGTCATCAATGTACTGCAGGTGCTCAGGAGCACTGCCCTGTTCCAATACAGTTTGGATCAACCCATGGCAAATGGTCGGGCTGTGTTTCCACCCCTGGGGCAAACGGTTCCAGGTATATTGACTGCCCCTCCGTGTGAAAGCAAACTGTGGCTTACATTCTTTGGCCAAAGCAATGGAAAAGAAGGCATTAGCAATGTCAATGGTGGCATACCATTTGGCTGCTTTTGACTCCAGTTCATACTGGAGTTCTAATATGTCCGGCACAGCAGCACTCAGAGGGGGTGTGACTTCATTCAGGCCACGGTAGTCCACCGTCAGTCTCCATTCTCCACTGGCTTTACTCACTGGCCATATGGGGCTGTTGAAAGGCGAGTGAGTTTTGCTGATCACTCCCTGGCTCTCTAGTTGACGAATCAACTTATGAATGGGGAGCAAAGAATCCCTGTTGGTGCGGTACTGCCGCCTGTGCACCGTTTTTGTAGCAATCGGTACCTGTTGCTCTTTTACTCGCAGCAACCCCACAACAGATAGATCTTCTGACAGGCCAGGCAAAACAGACAGCTGCTTAATGTTGTCTGTGTCCACAGCAGCTATTCCAAAGGCCCATCGATACACCTTAGGATCCTTGAAATGCCCCCCTTCTGAGATAATCAATACCTAGTATACATGGAGCCTCTGGGCCCGTCACAGTAGGATGTTTTTGCCAGTCCTTACCAGTGAGGCTTATCTCAGCCTCCAACACAGGCAATTTTTGAGAGCCCCCGGTCACTCCAGAAATATGGATTGATTCTGTCCCTTCATGACTCGAGGGCATCAGAGTGCACTGTGCACCAGTGTCCACCAGTGCCTTATATTTCAGTGGTTCTGATGTGCCAGGCCATTGAATCCACACAGTCCAATATACTCTATTATCCCTTTCCCACCCCCCTGACTGAGGGCAGGGCCCCTTCATTCATTACCTGTGGTAACTGGAGCAACTGCACTGGTGGTTGATCTGCCTTGTAATTCTCTCACCTGTGCTCGTAGTACAGCAGTAGGTTCACGGTGCCACTTCCCCATGTCTTCTCCATGGTCACGTAGGTAATACCATAAGGCAATTCGTGGTGTATTATCCCTTACTTGAGCCAGAGAGCGTTTGCCTCTAACAGCTGAGATTTTTGATGGTGCACGTGAGAAGGAAGGTTCATCATCTTTAGTTAAGTGGGCTCACATAAACTTCATCATCTCCTTCATGTCCTTCATTA